GAATTAACAAATATAAGTAAAGAGAAGATACTTTAAAGCTGGCATGTGTTTTGATTTCAGAACCTTCTTTATTTATTTTTAATTTAAGTATCCAAAATATTTTTATAATTATTAAACTATAGAGTATTAGCCGACTGCCAGCTAAATTTAAGTGTCTGATTGACTTTTTCCTAGAATTGTTTATACCTTTTTGTCTTCCAATAGACTTTGACATGACAAACCTAATGATGTAAGTATTGTTTTTATGTTTTATACTCCATAGAACACCATATTCTTTACTACTTATAATAATTAATGCATCCCTAATAAGGTTAATAAAATGCTCATATTATTTCATAAAAGATAATGTAAACAAGAAAATCTTCATTTGGTTTGGATGCCTATCTACTCCTAAGTTTCAAGTTTTTGATACATTTTATTTTCTTAAAGATTTACCATATCAAACAATAACGAATGGACGATTTTCATCAAAAGAGTTCATCATTCATTATGTATATACTAAAAAGATAACCTTTTATATATACTTGTATAATATATTTTCCAGTGAAGAAAGTAATTAAGATAAAAGTATAATATATTTTTCGTCATTTAATATCAAGATATTATATGTAACCGTCCAATCTATATAAGTATATATATTTTGAGGGAGGGTACTATGAATGTATATACAATAAAAACTTATTTGTATCAAGTGTTTACATCAAATTTATCATAGATAATACACTTGTTGTACTACCTTTAATTATACTAAATGTGTACTTAATTACTTTCATTAGTGAAAGATGTATACTTCCTTCGTCCCAAAATGAATATCATCCTAGCGCAAAAAAAAAATAAAAAATCTTAAAATAAGTGTCACAACAATAATTCAACACAAAAATTAGTATTTAAAAAAATAAATTAGTATGTTATTTTAACTATATATCTATTATCTATACCCTCATGCTCAATTTTTTAATAGTGTTTAATTTTTAAAAATATTTATTAAATAAGGATAGTTTATTCAACTACACATCATATTAACTTATTGGTTTTTTTAATCAACTTGATTTTTGCTAAAATAATTCTTATTTTCGGACAAAAGAGTATGATTTTTTCATCCGGTGTTAGGTATCCGCATCGAAGCCCGATTAAATTTGTCTTAAAACGCTTCCAAACAAAGATCACTCCGTATCTAACGAGACACGAACCCAAAACATCTGATTAAGAATAAAAAAAGACTTATTAATCCACCATATTCCTTATTGGTAGTATATCGGGATTTCATTTATACTAACATGGGAAGTAATTAAATAAAAAAGTTAACTGTCGGTGAGAATGAATTTAGGATGGACCAAAGGAAGCTTCAATATTAGAAAAATCTACTCTATGAATATATAGATTCTATTTAATTTAATTCAATTAAAGCATGATATTTGCAGACGTGAGAAACCGAAGACTTTTAAGATCTAAATATACATATAGCATGTACGGCCTGCAGTGTGAGAATGACACTCTCACCTAGTCAAATTATTCAATTATTGTTAGGTGATGATGAAAAAAAATAAAGTCGTTTTTCTTGTGTGGAATTTTAACTAAAAGTTAAATTTATGAATATAGATTAACGACTTATGAGTTACTCTTTGTGTCTTAATTTATATAGTACTGTTTGATTTAATATAAATAAAAAATACAATATTTAATTTTAAATACATTAAAAAAAATATATCTCATAAATTGAAACGAAAACTATATTTTTAGTTTTGTCGTGCTTCGTACCACTTGTAACGTACTAAATTTCTTTAGGCATAATGCCTACAACATCTATAACTTATCCTATAATCTTTTCACGCGGTTCTGTCTATATAATTATACTATTTATATAATTGTGACAAAAAATAAAATCAAGAGAAATCTTACTTGTTGGATTTTCAAATGTTGCAGTGATCTCTTGAACTAATTAAAATATTCTAACTTACTTATATTTTTGAGAGGTTTATTACTTATTTCGTTTCAATTTATTTGTCTGATTTTAACTTCGTATACAGAGTTTTAAAAAGTAAAAGAAGATTTTCGAACCTCATGACTTTAAACTAATGATACATGGAATGTATCAAAATATTATTTAATCTTGTTGTCTGATGTTAAATACGTTATGTTGAAAGTTGAAACTAAAGAGTTGCATAAAAAAAAAAATTTAATTAAAAAATGAATTTAAAAGGAAAATAGGACAAACAAATTGAAACGGCGGAAGTACCATATTTGACGCTTATATTCCTAGTAGGGTATTTTGGGAAAAAAAGGATGAATTGGAGGAGTTGCTTATAAATTAAAAAATAATCAAAGTGCAGAACTATTTGTATAATCCAATTCCTTTTATTTCGTAACTATAAATTAGTGGTCTTGAGTTTAAGCTTAAGAATGGATTTTTTTTTGACAAAGAAACCTTTTTTTCATTTAACGATTATTACTCATAACTGTTATTAACTCTTGAGGATATTTGTGATCTTTTGAAATAACGAGGGACATTTTTTATTCCTAAATATAACGAAGACTATAAGTAGTCTATTTTTTACATAGTTCGAGACATTTATGACCCTTTTTCATTAAATAAATGACTATAATATGTTACACCAAATAAAGAGTAGACTACATGTTTGAAGTCTACGTGCCCCTAGTGAGACACACGCTTTATTAGGTGCATTATGTTTGGTTAGGTATAAAGAGGACTTGGAGAAGTTGAAAAAAAATCTATTTTACTTATTTGCAAAAAAAATTAAAAATTAAAAATTGATCTCGAATTTAAATCTTAAATACGCAAAAAGTTTTAGAAGAAAATAGTTTCTTCCTATCTAAATCTTACGCGACACAAATTTAAATTAATCGCTATTAACGGAAATTCATCTAAACCAATTAAGTAAATGAACGTGAACACAAGAATCAATTATTTAATTATTATATATCTACTAGTCCAAGTTAGTGCTATTCAATGAAGACCAATTGCTTAAAATATGCAAATTAAAGTTACTAATCAGTCAAACTGATTAAGTTACTTTTTAATACCTACACTTGGTTTAAATTAAGTTAACTATTAAGATCCATAATCCATTATAAAGTTTAGATAAAGACTTATTTTAGTCAATTACGAGTTAATTTTAATACGTAAACTTGGTTTGGTTGTTGTATTAATAACCTATTTTTCTAATTGTCATGCATGTGATAAGATTTACTACATCATGGTATAATTTTCTTTATTTGAGACGGTTAATGATAAACAATAACTCTTTTATCGAACACAACTTATAACTTTCATTGTTATAAATATAATGTTGACATGAGATGTATTTAAAGATGGAACAAGTCTAATGAGATCATTTATATAGTCGATCTTAAATTATTTGAGTATAGTAAGTATGATCAAATATAATTTGATCCATTGTCTATTTTTTCTAATTAATGCATGTTCAGAGTTATTGTGAGTTATGACTTGTCTAGGATAAATCAATGGAAAATTAAATCATATTTAATACATGAATGGTGATTTTTCTAACAAAAATTAAGTTTCCGATATGTATCATTTCTTATTCAACAACTAAATGAAAGCTTCATTGCCTCTTATATTCAACTTTTTGATGACCTAGATTGTGACAAAGCGATAAATATTTTTTTAATTACATATTTCGAATATGCAATCGTCTGTGTTATAAGAGTGCTATACCTTTTGATGTGAGATTTTCTGACGGTCAATACAAATTTAAATTTAATCAAACCTTATTACGAATAGTAGACATCGGATGAGAAACCAAAATAAATAAAGCTTTAAGGTCAATCTCATAGTAGATGCCTCTCGCTTTAAGTCATAATATGATGCTTGAAACTTTGCCTTTCACTTCTTACAAAAATTGACTTTCTTGAAAAGGAATTGCAACCTAACTTGATTAACTTAAGTCTATTCTAAGTATATTATAATTAGTGTACTAAGAAAAAGTAATTAACAGATCCAAAAGAAAAGAAAGGAATTTTCGCACAGATAGCCAAACAAATTTATTGTATACTACTTTTTCTAGTCAATAAATATTATACACGTATTTGTGTTGGTCATGTATCTTCGCAACTATTTATCATCCAATGATCGTAATTGATGAGTGTGATGAAAAGATTAATATCCTTTCATCTAAAAGTTTTGAGTTCAAATCTTAAAATTAAAAGAATAATCTGCGGAAGGATTCAAAGATCCTATTGACTCGGTTAATTCTCATGATTTGTGTATTATACAAAAGCTGTCGGTTCAACTTTTATTTATTTTATTATTACTAATAATAACAATATTAAAGTAGTCTTTTTACTATCAAAAGGATCTACAAGGAAGTCAAAATGATGATTTCCACGGTTTCAATCAATTACTATTAAATATTCCATCTGTGTCATTTGATGTGGTACACAATTGAATTATTGAAACGCTTGACGTTTTTTGAAATAAAATTTATATATTTGAAAATTATGTAAAAATTATTATAATTACAATGATTAACAATTTAAAAGACATAAAAAGTTATAATTAAAAAAAACTTGTTGACTTTAGATATTCAACGGTGTCATATAAATTGAGACAGTGAAAAGAACGATAGTACTCTCTTCTCTCTCTTTATTTTTACATTTTCCTCCCTCCTTTTTAACATAGTGGAGTATTAACTTTAGGAAAAAGTGTCGGTTTTAACATAATCATCACCACGTTTATTTCTTTTTTTATTTCCCATTCGATGTCAGGTATTTGAATTGGAGTCTGACTAGCTTCAAATTCGTACCTACAAGTCTTGCATTGAGGTTTAAGTGCTCACTAACAAAGACAACTCCGTAACTATGATTCAAATCCAAAACTTTTGATTAAGAATGCAGGACTACTTACCACTCCACCACAAACATAATCGGCTATCTTCTTTTTCTTTCTCCATAGGTTTACCTTTACACTTTGACATTTCACATTTTACTATAACTTTACCAATATATCCCAACTCAAATAATAAAAGTGTAACCCAAACACTCATTATTCAAAGGGTAACATAGTATAAAATAACATGACAATGGAGTACCAAAATTGTCCAATGATCTTTTTTGTTACTTCACTTCCCCTGAATCCAGTGTGGAATTGATGTTATATAGAATGTCATATGCTTATTGAACTTACAAGAACATACTATGAGAAATGAAAGTCAACTGAAGATTGCAACTTCATGTTCATTGATGGCAAAGTTACATCTACTTACACTATGAAGATTATCATATATGGGGCAGGGCATAAGCCCGACCCTCTCTTCTCGTAGAGCTTTATAACACCGATGAAATTGGTGTACTGCGCCTGCTTACATATAAGCGTGAAAGAGATCCAGAAACCTACAGCCGGAACATAAATATTAAAACTATCTCCAGATTCAAGAAGCACTAGGCTCATTGTATATTTGTCAACTTTGATTAATGAATTGAATAATGCCTATGGTTTAAAACTAATGAACTATACAAACACTGTGAGCCAGCAACTATTAGGTGCATGGTGAAAATAACTGGACGTTTACTTTTGATCAAGCTTAGCTATTTATACATATTTGAAGGAAGAATGATACCTTGGAAAACTGCTCCTTCTGCACTTCACCGTCACCTTGTTATCAGTTTTAAGTTTTGTATTATCCTGGTTTAACAGCCTTGAAGCTACACACATAAATAAGACCTTGTTACAATCAGTATGAATTAAGAAAGAAGAAAATGGAAAACATAAGAACTTTTTCGACACAAATTCACAGAAATTTTCCCCAGATAAAACACTGATACACTTCAGATCTCCCTTTTTTAAAAACAAAAAACAACACACAGAAAGTGACCTAGTGCCAGATAGACTACATCAGTTATTACAAAAAGCATATGGTTAAAAGATGTTTAGGAAAATGCAAGCCAAAAGTTAACCATCCAGTGATTTTTGAAGAGAAAGTTAAGCACACAGTATTTCACTAGCCTATCTAATCTCTAGTACAGGTTAGAAGAAGGATAGTGGACTTAATTGCTCAAAAAAATTGTTACAAGACCGTATTTGTCATCTGATTCAGAAGGGTATTAGCATACATTGCATGATGACTTCAGTTATGTTCTCATACTTGGGGAAATAAATATTGTTTTAGGACAAAAAGCAAAGGAGTATATCCAATTAGGGGTAGGATGAATTTATATTATCTTCCAGTGATGTGTCTCTTCTACCTCAGGTTATAAATGACGATCGTGTGGACTGTGGATAAACGTGCATGAATGATTGAAGGAAATATTAAAATGTCTTCTGTTCCCCAGAATATTACCTCTGTGAATCGTTTGCTTTACTAGATGCATATTAAACCTGCTAGTAATCCAGTAACCAATTAATAACAATGATAGCAGAAATAACATGTTCTAGCAAGAAATTTGCAATATAAAACTTAATAGAACAGAAAAAGCATTCTGCAAAAGTAGAAAATCAAACTAATAGACTTCATTAATTTTCTAAAAGAATGGATTTTTGCTGTGTCTATGACTCTATTCCTTGTTTGTTGTGTCAAGATCACACTACAGAGGTAGGAAAAATATATCTTTCCTCAACTTCTAAGGTATTATATAATATGGCAATGGTCCAAAGCACTAATATGAATGGACCAAAGCTTCTTTCTTGACAACAAATCAATGTCAGTGTGTTTGCTAACCTTGTGCTCAATTTGGAAAGGTTCCTGTCATCCGAGTATGATCCAACATCCTTTCTAGTCCATATTTAAGCACGCCTGGTTACCAGCTCTGAATCCGTTTCCATAAATTGGCGAGGTGTCTGATTCATTCTGGTGTTTAAAGAAATCCTCGACTTTCCTCTCGAAAGGAGATCTAATCCCCTGCTTTGATGATGATGACACGCCTAATGAGATTGAAGCACCATTGCTGCTTGAAATGGATTCAATTTGGGTTTCAAATCACATATATGCTAGTACTGGCAAATGCCTTCTTCAACGTCTTGGCTAAGTGTTCGATAACCTATCATAGATGGAGGACATATCTAACACATTAGAAACTCCAAGAGTCAATGATCGTAACCAATAATATGCACAGATATCAGGATGACAAACTCAAAAATGGAAAGAGTTTGTGTTCCTACATATGCAGGAGGAGTTTAGACAGTCAACTGAAAGTTTTTTCTTTTCCTTTACCTTTTTTGCATGTCCGCGCCAAAAGAACTTGTACTGGACATGCTACTTTGTATTCTAGACTTTGTGTGTTACATCTTTTAATCTTGTTTTTTACTATGCCAATGATGATTTACTTTCCATTTATCTAGAAAAAACATCTATGTAACTAATAGGTGTACTTATTAAGTTTTCGAATCATATTGAAAGTCTACCTGCACTTTTCTCTTCTTAATATTTGTGCTATATAATGTTTTGCTCTAAATATGACATCCCTAGATTCTTTTGCTTTGATTTAGGATATACAAGAAAGTAAGAGGGATGTGAGAAGCAAAAGTGGTTCCATAATAGAATCTTGTGTTATACAATACTGTTATTTACTGCTATTTTGGAAAGCAGACATTGTATTGGGGCACATAGAAAAAGATGGGCACCCAAATTAAGAAGGGAGTAGAAGAAATGAGTGAGCACCTCTTAGTCGAAGCCATGCATGCATCATCTCATGCGCAAGGATTGACCCAGTCAGGAACCTGCAAAAATTCATGTCATATATCGAAAGCAAGCTATGAAACTAATGCTCGGTTCCACTTGCAAAAAATAAAATTAATGCTTCCACTTGAGAGCATAAATACATGTACGTGCTGCTTAAACCTAAATTACAGAACAAATCTTGTTCTGTTTCATCCACCTCACCTCCATTCTCTCACAGCTACAGTAACCGGGTGTTCCATCATGAAAAGGACAATACTTCTGGGACCAAAATGGATGTGCACTGTATTCAATAAGTCCAGCTGCATTTGTTGGAATCAGATTTGAATAAGTTATGACGGAAGGTTTTCTTCTTCTGTCATTCTCTTCAGCAGTTGCACAGCTTCACTAGTTTTACCAATCTTATAGCATCCATCTATCAGAGTGTTAAAAGTTATAACATTGGGAGATAACCCTTTCGAATGAAGCTTATTGAAAAGACTAAATGCTCGTTCAATGTTCCCTGCTTTACAAAGGCCATTTATTAGAGCATTGTATACTGCAATATTTGGAACAAGATCCTTTATTAGCATCTCATCACGCAAATTGAAAGCTTCATTAACTTTACCAACCGACGACATGCCATGGACCAAGGTGCAGTAGGTAAACTCATCAGGAGTAAAACCTTTTAGTGAGAAGTGGTTTACAACATCTCTTGCATCATCGATCTTCCCCAATTTGCATAACCCTGCCACAACAATATTATACAGGACATTATTGGGGACAACACATTTTGTTGCATTTCCATCAAGGGAATCTGCAATTTTCTGTGTAGCAGGCAGCCCTGTCTTAACGTTTGAGAAACCGTAAATATGTTTCAGGTCAGGATACAACTTTACATCCAGTATTTTCAGCAGGAGCATATTAGCATCATCAGTTCTACCAAGTTTGTATAATCCATTAACAATAGAGCTAACAATTATGACATTTGGATTCAATCCGTTCTCTCTCATATCAAAATATGCTTTATAAACTTTCTCAGGCAATCCTTCTTTAAACCAACCAGCAATAAGGGCTCCATATGTAACAATGTTAGGGGTTAATTCCCTATCATGCATTTCATTAAGAAGATCTTTGACTTTGCTAAACATTCCAGCCTTTATAAGTCCACTAATAAGTGAATTAAAATTTTCAACCGAAGCAGGAATATTCTGCAGTTCCATGACACCCTTTAATTTTAAAGCTTTTTCAATCTCTCCTGCTTTACAATACCCATCACTTAGGGTCCTATAAGTTACTCCATCCGGAGAACAGCCAAACTCCTCCATTTTGTGAAAAAGGAGCTCGGCTTCAACCATTTTCCCCATCTTACAGAATCCTTTGAGCATTGTATTTAGAAGAATCCTGCTTTTGGTGTGGTGCCCTCTTGCTAGAATATGTTTCCACAAGACCAAAGCCTTTTCAAATTCTCCCATGTTAAGAAATACATCTAAGAGAGTACTATATCCAACTGCATCAGGAATTATACCTCTTTTAAGCATCAAATTCCAAAGATGCAAAGCATCAGCAATGGCCCCTTCCCGACTTAATCCTTTTAGCAGAGTGTTGTAAGTGACAACTGTTGGATCGATACCACTCTGAATCATCTCATCACAAAGGTTGAATGCATTTTGCATCAGTCCTTCCCTACAATAACCATCTAAAAGGGTATGATAACTATAAGAATCAGGTTTAAGATTCCAGTCGATCATGCTCCTAACAATCTGTTCGGCATTGCTTATTTTACCAGCTTTGCAGTACCCATTTATCAAGGAATTACAGATAAACAGATTCATGTTAAACCCTGATCTCAGCAACTCATCCCGAATCCTAAGCGCATCATCCATTTTCCCCATCTGACAAAACCCCTCAATTAACACACCATACACCTGCTCATCCACCTCCTTCATTTCTCTGAACACTTTCTCTGCTTCCTCCATCTTACACAGCCTGCAATAACCCTTAATCAATAACGTGAATGTAACTATATTTCTTGAAATTCCTCTTTCATCTATCACCCTCAACACTCTTTCGACACCCTTAAGATCCTTTCTCTCCACATACCCATTAATCAAACTATGATAAGTAGCAATACTCAACTCCAAATCCATCTTCTCAATTTCTTCAACAAAAATTTCAGCTTTATCAACCTTCCCATCCTTACAATACGCATTAACCATTATGGTACAAGTATATATATCAGGAGAGAACCCCATCTTTATCATCTGATCATATACAGAAAACACAGTAAAAAAATCACCTTTTTTCACCAAACTATTCAACAAACTATTACAAGAACCCAGACTAGGCACACGGCCGCACTTAGGCATATTATCAAACACGTACAATGCATTCTTGACCAACCCCTTTTTCGCATAGATTTTCAAAACCATATCAAAAACTGTAGGAGAAAACTTGAACTCTCTATATACTGTCATTAATTCGTCCCAAACAAACGACACAGATTTCTTATTTCTAGAAAGTTCTAGAAGCTCCGATAAATAAAACCTAGCTTCATCGAACATTCTCCCTCTGGATAGTATATGAACTATTCTGCAGTAAGATACTACATGGGGTCTAAAAAATTGTCGCCCTGAAGCTAATTTGAAGAAATGCAATGAAGCATTAGGATGAAGTTTGAGTTTTACAAGAACAGAGTCGACAAGATTGTTGGAGAAATCGAATTTGAGACTGTCAACTGCTGTATAACGCTGAAGAATCAAAAGACGGCATATTTTATCGGCGAGTTCGTGTGGTCGATTAGTCGCCGTAGAGTGGGTGGCATACCGGAGTTGGAGATGGCAAGTATAGAAAATTGGTTTTGCTACTTTCACCGTCGCCGCCATGGCCGCCGGCGCCGTCGACAGCTATTGTTTTTTTTTAGTGTTTTATATAGAAACCAATTTGTCAGCGGCAATTTTCAGACATTTACTTCTGCTACTTGTAATCTAAAGATAGTGCTTGACTCGATATAGAATGATGTTTGATTGAACACGAAAAAAATAAAAAACTTTTGGAATTAATTATTTAAAATAAGTGATAAATATTTATATAATTACAAAATAATAATACTTTGCGATAGGGATGGTATTTGAAAGATGTGAGTGATCAACAAAGAAAAATGAGTCAACAAACATCAAAATGTGTATTTGAAAGATTATGCGATTTCATTGAGGTGTTTATGTTAATGATAAAAGAAATATCTTTTGTTTGTTATTGCTCGTATGTATCCTCATGTTGTAGAGTGTCCTCATAATTTAGTTGAGGTGTTTATGCTAATGATCAAAGAAATATCTTGTGTGTTACTCGTAGAATTCTCTGTTAATCTTGTTTAGTGTTGTTATTCAAAGTTCTAACTGAAGGTCATTTTCGAAAATAGTCTCTCAGATAAAATTTGCGTACACTTTACTCTCTCCATAATCCGTCTATGAAATTACATTGAATATGTTGTTGTAATAAACAAAATGGACGAAGGCAATGGAGCACATTCACATGATCACATCCCGTGCTACACATAGAGCCGCAAGACGGTTTATCTGAATCTCCTTCGTTTGGAAATTACACTACACAAAGGTCAAAGCTAATTTTTGTGTAGATATAGCAAATGTTGACTCCTCTTAGCTTCTTCGAAATGTTTTTTTCTTCTTTATATTTGAATTCAAAATTCTAGCTCCGCTATTGACTGACTGGGCGATCCCTTTTTGATTGTAATCCTCTTGATCAGATTTTGTCTAATTGTTGCATATTCTATATAATAAATAATAAGCATTCTGTGAAAGTAGAAAATCAAACTAATAGACTTCATTAATTTTCTAAAAGAATGGATATTTTTTGTGTCTATTCCTTGTTTGCTGTGTCAAGATCACTCTACAAAGGTAGGAAAAACATAACTTTCCTCAACTTCTAAGGTATTATATGATATGGCAATGGTCCAAAGCACTAAAATGAATAGACCAAAGCTTCTTTCTTGACAACAAATGAATGTGAGTCTGTTTTCTAACCTTGTGCTCAATAAGGAAAGGTTCCTGTCATCCGAATGTGATCCAACGTCCTTTCTAGTCCGTATTTAAGCACTGCTTGGTTACCAGCTCTGAATCCGTTTCCATAAATTGGCGAAGTGTCTGATTCAATCTGGTGTTTGAAAAAATCCCCGAGTTTCCTCTCAAAAGGAGATCTAATTCCCTGCTTTGATGATGACATGCCTGATGAGGTTGAAGCGCCTCCATTGCTGCTTGATACGGATGCAATTTGGGTTTCTAACCACATGTGTGCTAATACCTGGCAAATGCCTTCTTCAACGTCTTGGCTAAGAGTTCGATAACCTATCATAGATGAAGGACATATCGACCACATCAGACACTCCAAGAGTCAATGATTGTAACCAATAAATTGCACAGATATCGGGATAGACAAACTCAAAGGAAGGAAAACAAACATGTTCCTATACATGCAGGAGGCATTTAGACAGTTCCCTGAGAGTTTTTCTTTATGTTCCATTTTCCACATGTCCACGCCAAAAGAACTCGTGCTTGACATGCTACTATATATCCTAAACTTTATGCGTTTCTTCTTCTTTTTAATCTTGTTTTTACTATGCCATTGATGATTTACTTTCCATTTTATCTATAAAAAAACATCCCTGTAACTAATAAGCGTACTTTTTTGAGTTTTTGAATCATATTCAATCAGACAGTCTACCTATGCTTTTCTCTTCTTATTATTTGCGCTTTACAATTTTTCGCTCTGAATTTGGCATTCCTAGAGGTTGCTGACATCCCAGGGTCAGCAACCTCTTGAAATAGATGGGCACTCAAGTTAGGAAGGGAGTAGAAGAAATGAGCGAGCACCTCTTAGTCGAAGCCACGCATGCATCATCTCATGGGCAAGGATTGACCCAGTCAGCAACCTGCATAGACTCATGTCATATATCGAAACCAACGCTTCCACTTACAAAAAAGAAAATTAATGCTTCAACTTGAGGGCAAAAATACATGTACGTGCTGCTTAAACCTATATTACAGAGGAAATGTCCAATTCATACTGTCCGTCAGAAACACAGAAATCATTCAATTTTTCCTCAGAGGTAGAAACGTGTGGTAAAAAAAATGGATTCTAGCTAGAAAGCATCAGGAAACAGCAACAAGGTTAGGTATGTGGTGTGCACAGATATCAGATGAAAAAGTTACTACATAGTCCAGAGGAATCTAAGAATATTTTATAAGACTGGCGAAGAAGCCAGAGATTTTAGAGAGCCCAAATCACATCTAGTCCCACGAATGTGATGGAAAGCTGACTCTAAATGCATCTCAAGTGAATTATCATGCCAAACCAGATTACATTGACCATCCACTATTGACATGGTCACATAGAGTAATATAAAATGTAATCAACTTTTTCTACAGCCCTAGTAAGGGACGTAGTATCTTTGTTTTGCTTAATGCCTACTTGCAATGCATCATCAACATTTAAATAAATTAAATGTTGAATGGACACAAGTGATTCTGACTAATCAAACAGGTCTGTTAAAACGGTAGCACTCAGATTCACAAATTTGCAGAGCAAAGTAACGAAATAGTACCTTGGTAGACCATATAAGATAAGAATTGCAGTCACTTCACAGCGGCGTGTCAATTTATAAGGTTCCGTTCTCATGTCCATGACCCGATTTCCAGCTCCTATTCTTGGCCGTCTTTGTATCTGGCAATTAGTGGTAAGTAAGTGCTTCCGTTTACCATTTGAATAAAAGATATTCAAGTTTTCAGTTTCCAAAATCATGAAGAGGGAGAAGAAATGGATATCACTTGAAGTCCTTACAGTGCTGATAGTTTGTTCCTCAGAAAGGCAAAGTCCTCTTGTCTCAGGCATGTGGTGATAACCCTGGCAAAAGGGATGAAAACCAAATATAAGGAATATATTCTTCACACGAAAACAGTATGAATATGGAGAATACAAGAATGAAAGGAGAAGAAGCGGCAGCTAGGGTCAAGATAACAGTTACATGTCTCTCTCCATCCATAGCCTCATTCAATGCTTGTCTCTCAACCAGAAGCAAAGGAACTTTCTGCTCCACTTTCATATTTAGCCCTTCATAGAATTCTTGTATATCATAATAAAGGGGCTGACACTGACTCGTATCCATTATCGCAGAGTCCAAGCACTCTAGACATAGCTTTCGACCATCATCAAGGGCAATATATCTTGTATCCCGTGGCTGCAGTCAAATCAAAATTGTATTCTTTATAGAAGTTAATCACAAGAATTTTGCTGAAAACACAGGTTTCTCCAGAAATCTTGTTCTGTTTCATCCGCCTCACCTCCATTCGCTCACAGCTACAGCAACGGGGTGTTCCATCATGCTCATGAAAAGGACAATACTTCTGGGACCAAAATGGATGTGCTCTGTATTCAATAAGCCCAGCTGCATTTGTTGGAATCTGGACAGACAGGAAACACTTCATGAATCTCAAAGAAATGATACATTATCAGCAGCTAGATGGATTCTGAACCAACAAGAGATAGTCTATACCAAGTTCCCAATGATCTGTACTCGGTGAAATGTTGAGACACCTACCATACACTTTATTAATTTGATTATAATCTTAGGAAGACGCACGATTAAACTATACAGCCCATGACATTTAGATCAGAAAAGACAGAACAGTCCATGAAGTCTAGACTAGAGAAGACTTGCGTTTGTTGGAATCTGGACAGACAGGAAGCACTTACTGAATCTCAAATAAATTATACATAATCAGTAGCTAGATGGATTCTGAGCCAACAAGAGATAGCCTATACCAAGTTCTCAGTGATCTGTACTCGGTGAAATGTTGTGACACCTACCTTACACTAGTGTCTAGGACCACTATCATTAGCAGAGCATTTTAATTAATCTGAGCTTCAAGGAAGGCATGTAATGGAGAACTACATGTTTTTCTAGTGTTTGGTAGTCTTCTACAATCAAAAGAAAAATTAAGACATGTAAGAGGACTTCTGCAGAAGATTTAAGAGAAACAATCATTTTGTACTTACAAAGTGTTTGCACACATCACATTTTGGGTGATAATGCTCCTTGTAGCATGTTTTGTGATAGGGATAGTTCCCAGACATTGAGAACTGCACATTTAATACATCCAAAAGTTAAAACAGATTTCATGAATATACTTGTCATACAAATTGATGTTCTATCACTTTCAGATGATTGACAGTTGACGTACATTACCCAAGACACTATAAGATAATTACCAACAACAATATCAGTACTAAGTTACAGTTACAGAAAGTATTGAACACCTTATGGACGATGAGTGCATATTACTAAAAACTATAACTTGCTACCAGATGTACAAAATTGATTCCTGTCACTTCTCTTATTTCCAGAATGAGCAAATTGCCTACTGATGGTCAGACATATTTTCAAAATTGTATTTTATAGTAAGTCATTTACTTTAGATGATTGTTTCCCCAGTAGATCTGTAGTTATTATTGTGCATCTGCTCCCTGCCTCAATCCCACCCTTTTTCGCGTTTGGTTACCCAAATACCCCAAATCAACATGTGCTTTGACTTGGCACCATTATTATGAAAAATGTCGGATAAGCAAAAGCAGTAATACACCAGATAACAAGACTGAACTAGAAAAATTAAAAATTATGCAGTATTGCACCTCATAATCAGATATTGGCTGGTTACAGGCATGGCATCTAAAGCACTCTGGATGCCATACCGCTCCCATGCAACTCAAAAATCGTCCATGACCTATTTCAGTGCTGCAACCTGCACATACCCTACCACAGAAAAAGATAACATGCATTAGGTCTAAAAGCAGTTGTGTTAAAAAAATTTATTTTATCAGTCATGTTGTAGTGTTAATTCTTAATGTCTTATGACAAACATCTGTATTTGCTTATACAAGGAATTTAGAATGTTCACAGCAATCGACAGGCTCACTTAAGATTTCTTACAGCCCACCATTGAACTCTCTATCTAG